AATAGTCTCTCTGGGACACGGAAGGAAGCACTGGCCAGAGAAATAGTCTCTCTGGGACACGGAAAGGAAGCACTGGCCAGAGAAATAGTCTCTCTGGGACACGGAAGGAAGCACTGGCCAGAGAAATAGTCTCTCTGGGACACGGAAGGAAGCACTGACCAGAGAAATAGTCTCTCTGGGACACAGAAAGGAAGTACTGGCCAGAGAAATAGTCTCTCTGGGACACGGAAGGAAGCACTTGCCAGAGAAATAGCATCTTTGAGACACGGAAAGGAAGCACTGACCATAGAAATAGTTTCTCTGGGACACGGAAAGGAAGCACTGGCCAGAGAAATAGTCCCTCTGGGGCACGGAAGGAAGCACTGGCCAGAGAAATAATCTCTCTGGGACACGGAAGGAAGCACTGGCCAGAGAAATAGTGTCTCTGGGACACGGAAGGAAGCACTGGCCAGAAAAATAGTCTCCCTGGGACATTGAAGGAAACACTGGCCAGAGAAATAGTCTCTCTGGGACACGGAAAGAGGCACTGACCATAAAAAGAGAAAATATCGAACTTAAGCTCTAGGAATCATACAGGAGCTAGGAAACACATAAAGAACTTAAAGCATTAAATTAAAATGGAAGAAATCCAGAATGTTTCTTTTCTTATGTCAAATCTGGGGAAGAAAACACATCAGTATAGAGCCCTTGCTTAAACAAGATGAGACATACACAGATGACAGCAAAGAAATGAGTCAGATACTGAAGTCTCAATACGACTCAGTGTTTAGTGAACCCTTAATCAGACTAAGGGTCGACAATCTAAATGAATTTGTTATGACCGAGGCTCAAAAAGTGCTTAGTTTCAGAATTTTTGATATAATGTTAACACTACAGGACTTTGAAAAAAACAATAAATGACACGTTCTTGCATTTATCTGCAGGCCTAGCATCGTGGAACTCCGTGTTCATCAAGAATTGCAAGAAGCCACTTTCGCGTGACCTAAATATTCTATGGAGAGGGAGCACAGACATGGGGATCATCCACAGTCACTGAACACAATGGATATGGCCCCACTTCACGAAGGTGGCAGTTAAACAATTGCAAAAAAAACTGCATACCAATAGGACTAACGTCCCACATCATAATAATCTTTGAAGGGTTGTAAGAAGGAAGATCACTAACCACTTGGACTCCCAACAATTACACAACCCAGGAGAGCATGGATTTAGAGCAAGTCAATCCTGCCTTTCACAACTACTGGACCACTGTGACATGGTCTTTGATGGTCGCTCCTGTCTCTCACAGCTACTGGACCACTATGACATGGTCTTGGATGGTCGCTCCTGTCTCTCACAGCTACTGCACCACTATGACATGGTCTTGGATGGTCGCTACTGTCTCTCACAGCTACTGGACAACTATGACATGGTCTTGGATGGTCGTTCATGTCTCTCACAGCTACTGGACCACTATGACATGGTCTTGGATGGTCGCTTCTGTCTCTCACAGCTACTGGACCACTATGACATGGTCTTTGATGGTCGCTACTGTCTCTCACAACTACTGCACCACTATGACATGGTCTTGGATGGTCGCTCCTGTCTCTCACAGCTACTGCACCACTATGACATGGTCTTGGATGGTCGCTACTGTCTCTCACAGCTACTGGACCACTGTGACATGGTCTTGGATGGTCGTTCATGTCTCTCACAGCTACTGGACCACTATGACATGGTCTTGGATGGTCGCTCCTGCCTCTCACAACTACTGGACCACTATGACATGGTCTTGGATGGTCGCTACTGTCTCTCACAGCTACTGGACCACTATGACATGGTCTTGGATGGTCGTTCATGTCTCTCACAACTACTGGACCACTATGACATGGCCTTGGATGGTCGTTCATGTCTCTCACAGCTACTGGACCACTATGACATGGTCTTGGATGGTCGTTCATGTCTCTCACAGCTACTGGACCACTATGACACGGTCTTGGATGGTCGTTCATGTCTCTCACAGCTACTGGACCACTATGACATTGCCTTGGACGGTCGTTCATGTCTCTTACAGCTACTGGACCACTATGACATTGTCTTGGATGGTCGTTCATGTCTCTCACAACTACTGGACCACTATGACATGGCCTTGGATGGTCGCTCCTGTCTCTCACAGCTACTGGATCACTATGACATGGCCTTGGATGGTCGTTAATGTCTCTCACAGCTACTGAACCACTATGACATGGTCTTGGATGGTCGTTCATGTCTCGCACAGCTACTGGACCACTATGACATTGCCTTGGATGGTCGTTCATGTCTCTCACAACTACTGGACCACTATGACATGGTCTTGGATGGTCGCTACTGTCTCTCACAGCTACTGGATCACTATGACATGGCCTTGGATGGTCATTCATGTCTCTCACAGCTACTGGACCACTATGACATGGTCTTGGATGGTCGTTCATGTCTCTTACAGCTACTGGACCACTATGACATGGTCTTGGATGGTCGTTCATGTCTCTCACAACTACTGGACCACTATGACATGGCCTTGGAAGGTCGTTTATGTCTCTCACAACTACTGGACCACTATGACATGGTCTTGGATGGTCGCTCCTGTCTCTCACATCTGGACCACCATGACATGGTCTTGAATGCACTGAAGAACAAACGAAATGCAGATGTAGTATACACAGACTTTGTGAAAGCCTTCGACAGGTGCGATCGTGATGTAATAGCCCACAAAATGCTTGATTTAAAAAACAAAACAGGAAAAGTGGGTAGATGGATCTATAACTTCTTAACCAATAGAACTCAAAGAATAACAGTAAACAGAGTAAAGTCTGTGGAGGCTTCAGTAAAAAGCTCTGTTCCACAATGCACAGTAGTCGCTCCCATACTTTTACTCAACCTCATGGCTGTCACAGATAGAAACGTAAACCACAGCACAGTGTCCTCCTTTGCTAATAATACCAGAATTTGCAGTACAGTGTCCTCCATTGAGGACACTGTACTGAGAACAATATGAAGTTCATTGTGGACAAATTTTAATTACTCCACTATAGAAAACTTGAAAAAATAAAGACTTAATCACAGTAATAAAACAAATTCTAATCACGCAATAGAGCTATAAACAAAAGTGTTGGAATTAACTTTGGAGTGAAAATGTCAGAAAAATCTCACCGTCGAAGATCACGTCACTGTTTCTATCATATCTGCTGGAAAATAGTAAGATGGATAATGTGAACCTTCAAAACTAGGGAAGTCAAGCCAATGATTATTCTCTTTAACTCACCTGATCTTTCTAGGCTGGAGAACTGCTGAGCACTAACTGCCTCTTTCATGGTAGGTGAAGCTGCAGACCTGGAGAATATACAGAGAACTTTCACTGAACATATAAGTACAATAAAACACATCAATTACTGGGAATTTTTAGAGTCCTTTGACCTATAGAAGATACATTATAATCCACACCTGGACAAACCTAGAGAGACTTGTCCGAAATCTTCAGACGGAAATCACCCCCTACTTAAGTAAATGACCTGGCAGCCAGTGCAATATCCTTCTAATCAGCTGTGCCATGAATACACTAAAAGATAACACAGTAAGTGTCAGGGGACCAAAATTGTTCAACTGCCTACCAGCAGTCTTCAAGTGATGTCTTCAAGAAGGAACTGGAGAGACACGTAAAGTCAGTACCTGACCAGCCGGGCTGTAGCACGTATGTTGGATTACGTGGTTGATCATACCCTGATTCATTGCAAGGCTTGGTCATGGACCGAGCCTCGGGGGCGTTGACCCTCGGAATACTCTCCTGGTATATTCCATGAATAAACTACATTACACTATCACCTGTCAAGTTTCTAGCTGTATATACAGCTAGGAACTAAGCTATTAACATCATTTGAAGACATGTTGGTACCTAATAGGACTGGTAATAATAAGAACATAACATAAGAAAGGAGGAACACTGCAGCAGGCCTGTTGGCCCATACTAGGGCCAACAGTCTGGTGAGGGTATATGGGCACACACTGGTCACTCCATTGCGAACCTGTAATCGTTAAAAGGTTAAGAACATCTACTCTTCAAAAATCATATCTCAAAAAATTTATTTGCTTGGCCCATATGGGTTTACAGTGGAGGCTCCAAGGGAAGAGATATGGGGGGGCATCAGCCCCAGAAAAATTTCTCTCAGTCCCCAAATAAATGCAGTCATACTAATAACGTTGCTTCAAAAATAAGTCTCCAGCCCCATCTTCCATCTAACACAATAATTACCTCTCTGCTCTCCCTCTCAGGCCAGAAATTAATATGTTTATAAATGACAGGACTCGTTTTACTTTCACGGGTAAACTAAACCCGTAAGAGTCATACAGCGTCTGGGAAATGAGAAGCACTTGTATTTGTTCTAAGAAAAACCAGACTAGCCCCAATTACTCAGATCAAGAACCCTCCTCCATTGTAAATTCATTATCCCGTCTCCTTGAAGGGGACATGAATAACATTACACAAATAATGTTAAATAAATTATGTTGATAGATCAAAATTAAAAAGAAAGAAAGCATTTAAATACAATTTATATTATTATCATTGCAGTTTGTTTTACGAATTCGTAATAACACGATTGTAAACAACCCACTGAACTGTTGGGGTTAGAACCCATGGCTGGAGTTTTACGATTCACTTGCCATGGGTTCTAACCCCCCATCAGTTCCATGCTTATGACTGGAGTTTCACAACTCACTCGCCATGGGTTCTTGCCCCACCAGTTCTATAGTTTATTACAGTTTATCATTGAAATGCTTCTCCCTGACAGCTTCCTGCACCAGATTTCCTGTCATATTGTTCCAATCAATTTGTCTAAAGTTAAAATCTCCCTTTAACACAACATTTTCATATGTAGATGACTTATGAATTTCGTCCCATAACAGCTTACTGCACTCGCCATGGGTTCTATCCCCCACCAGCTCCATGGTTAATAACAGTTTATCATTGAAATGCTTCTCCCTGACAGCTTCCTGCACCAGATTTCTGCAGGAACAAGCGAAGGAATTAGGTGTCAAGTGTGAGGTGATAGAATATGTACCTGGGATCCCCGTTGTGTTGATGACACTCGTAGGACAAGACCCAAGTCTACCATCACTGCTGCTCAACTCTCACACTGATGTTGTTCCAGTGTTTCCTGTGAGTCAAATTATCCATTTGTACCTTCTGGAGCAGAGATAAACTTGCTATCTTCCATATTCTGTTATAACTCTTCGTTATACTCATAACTATATTTTTATTAAAGGGGTGGGGTGGCAAGCCAGCGGAAGGCCTCGGTCAGATGACCATAAGCTCCAGCTGTGGGTCATCATATGACTAAGACCCTCGTCAGGAAACACTTGTCTTGATTCCTGACCAATCTTACCCAACCTAATCTATCTTCCATTATTACATCAGAGTTTTTAAGAGATTTTAAGAGTTTTTTACGATTTTCTGCCAGTTTTGATTCTTTAAAAAAATTGATTCCCTTTTGGCTCAGTTTATTCTTAATTTACACTTCAAACATCATGATATCTCTGCTAAGGTACCACGAAATCATAATTTACTAATTTTTTCAAAGTCTTTTAAGCCCTGATACTTACCATACCACGGGTGGGGTTAGAACCCGCGGTCAGAGAGTCTCAAAACTCCAGACCGTCGTGTTAGCCACTGGACCAGCTAGCTTCAGTAAAATTCATCCAACTAGGAATATTTCTTACTGAAGCTAGCTGGTCCAGTGGCTAACACGACGGTCTGGAATTTTGAGACTCTCTGACCACGGGTTTTAACCCCACCCGTGGTATTGTTTGTTTGCAATCGTGTCATTACGATTTCGTGAGTCCTGATACTTGGTATCATATCTTTGTCAATCAACAAGTCTGGATATTTCTTATTATTATTAAAGATTCGCCGGCATTCTCCCGGCCCGGGCCTTTTCCAAGTGGTGGCCCGGCCTTGGCTCCCTCTTTAGGGAGTGTCTGAGACCTAAGTCTCCCATGGGAGGAGGCACAAGTACCTCCTCATCTTTGGGACCAACTCTCCCCAGGCCTAGCCACAAGCTAGGCCTCTCTGGTCTGCCATCCCCGCCACAAGGGGGCTAATGGAAATGACAGGAATGACAGTCTTATGAGCTAAAAGCTCGGGCTCAGGCACCTACCCTACCCTAGAAGGGCTGGGCATGGTGTCGATCCTGGATATTTCTATTGTTTTCAGTTTTTTATTACAATTCTTACCAGTTTTTTAGTTCAGAGAACCATTATGCTCACACAAAGTTACTAAACTTGTAGTTTTATATACAAATGTTATTTAATTACGAGTATTAAACATGTCAAAATATTACATAACTTTTTTGTATTGATCAAAATTATGTATTTCATAATTAATACGAACATTAGTTTGTATATTTAAGGTTCCTTGTTATAATAATTATAATAATAATAATAATAATAAGAATAATAATATTATTACTATTATTATTAATAATATTAATAATATTAAATAATAATATTATATTATTATTATTATTATTATTATTTTTATTATTATAATAATAATAATAATAACATTAATAATAATAATAATAATATATTATTATTATTATTATTATTATCATCATTATTATTAATATTAATAATAATAATAATAATAATAATAATAATAATAATAATAATAATAATAATAATAATAATATGTATATATTAATAAAAGTCTGTGTTAAGCAGAACAATTTTATGTCTCTTATTCTTCATGGTTCTTATTTAATTTTTGAAGGTTTGTAGAAGGTCAAGATTGTAGTGTATCTACATAATTCTGTAGTGTATGTACATAATTCTGCAGTGTATGTACATAATTCTGTAGTGTATGTACATAATTCTGTATGTATGTACATAATTCGCAGTGTATGTACATAATTCGTAGTGTATGTACATAATTCTGTGGGTTAAATGTACAAAATTCTGTAGTGTATGAAACATAATTCTGTAGTGTATGTACATAATTCTGTATGTTAATGTACATAATTCTTTTAGTGTATGTACATAATTCTGTAGTGTATGTACATAATTCTGCAGTGTATGTACATAATTCTGTAGTGTATGTACATAATTCTGCAGTGTATGTACATAATTCTGTAGTGTATGTACATAATTCTGTAGTGTATCTACATAATTCTGCAGTGTATTGTACATAATTCTGTAGTGTAGTACATAATTCTGTAGTGTATGTACATAATTCTGCAGTGTATGTACATAATTCTGCAGTGTATGTACATAATTCTGTAGTGTATGTACATAATTCTGTAGTGTATGTACATAATTCTGTAGTGTATGTACATAATTCTGCAGTGTATGTACATAATTCTGTAGTGTATGTACATAATTCTGTAGTGTATGTACATAATTCTGTAGTGTATGTACATAATTCTGTAGTGTATGTACATAATTCTGCAGTGAATGTACATAATTCTGTAGTGTATGTACATAATTCTGTAGTGTATGTACATAATTCTGCAGTGAATGTACATAATTCTGTAGTGTATGTACAAAATTTTCGTAGTGTATGTACATAATTCTGAAAGTGAATGTACATAATTCTGTAGTGTATGTACATAATTCTGTAGTGTATGTACATAATTCTGCAGTGAATGTACATAATTCTGTAGTGTATGTACATAATTCTGTAGTGTATGTACATAATTCTGCAGTGATGTACATAATTCTGTAGTGAAATGTACATAATTTCCCTGTATGTATGTACATAATTCTGTAGTGTATGTACATAATTCTGTAGTGTATGTACATAATTCTGTAGTGTATGTACATAATTCTGCAGTGTATGTACATAATTCTGTAGTGTATGTACATAATTCTGTAGTGTATGTACATAATTCTGCAGTGTATGTACATAATTCTGAAGCTCTGGCAACATTATGGTAAAATGTGTTAATGGCGATTATATATCTTTTGTATCGTCCTCAGGAACATTGGAAATATGAGCCATTCAGTGGTCATAAAGACGACAATGGTGATATATATGGTCGTGGTACACAAGATATGAAGTGTGTTGGAATACAGTATTTGGAAGCTCTTAAAAGTCTTAGGAAAGATGGACATGAGTTTCTCAGGACAATTTACATTTCATTTATGCCAGGTAAGGCCTATCAGGAATCGTTTTAATCATAGTTATAATTTTATACAAGTGGACTTGTAATTCAGCCGAAGGCCTCGGTCAGACGACCAAAAGCTCCAGCTGTGGATCATCATATGATTAAGACCCGCGTCAGGAAACACTTGTCCTGTTTCCTGACGAACCTCACCTAACCTAACCTAAGGCCTACCAAATCAGGAAACGGGTAGAGGTTTAAACCCAGGTGAGTCTTAAAACTCACAGGCCAGTATGTTAACCACTGGGCATCTGCCTCTAAGATTCATTCAATTTGCAATATTTTTATATACCATTCGTGATTTTTTTCCAATCTTGTTATTAATATTTCGTGAGTCAGTTAAGACTTGGTGCTCGTCTAAGATTACTTTCGTAATATAATCCATCAATATTACTGATATATGAAAGATGGCTGCCAACTTACCCTCTCAAATATGTTAAAGATGGCTGCCAACTTACCCTCTCAAATATGTTAAAGATGGCTGCCAACTTACCCTCTCAAATATGTTAAAGATGGCTGCCAACTTACCCTCTCAAATATGTTAAAGATGGCTGCCAACTTACCCTCTCAAATATGTTAAAGATGGCTGCCAACTTACCCTCTCAAATATGTTAATTTTTTTGTTTTAAATTACTACAGCAGTTAAATTTACAAAAGATAAAAAGCATTTCAAAGAAATTTAACATATGGATGACTATCCAAAACTTGGATAGAAGTAGTTTGTTGCTACGGCAAAAGTTTTTCTTAGTTTTATTGCTTTCTTATATACACCGATGCCATTCCCGTGGGCATGGGGCACAGATACATGAGGACACTTATAGACACATACAAGGGACATGAAGACACAAAATAGACACATACAGGCATATGCAGACACATATAGACACATACAGGCATATGCAGACACATGTAGACACATACAGATACATGCAGACACATATAGACACAGACTCATGCAGACACATATAGACACATACAGACACACGCAGACACATATAGACACAGATACATGCAGACACATATAGACACATACAGACTCATGCAGACACATATAGACACATAAGACACACGCAGACACATATAGACACAGATACATGCAGACACATAAGACACATACAGACTCATGCAGACACATATAGACACAGACACATGCTGTGTCAAGTAATTCTGATTTAAAAATTTTTTTTTTACTGCCAAAAAGACTTTTCAATGGAGGTCCCCAAAATGAAAAAAATGAAAATACAACAAAAAAAATATGAAAATTTTAAATTCGTAGGGAAAAGTTTTTAAGAGGAAATCCAATTTGGGGTGGATTTTTTTTTTTTTCCAAAATTTTGGTTATAAAATACACGTGATTGACCCTTCAAAAATTTTGTTTGAAGGAAAGTGCACAGCGGCCGCGGAAATGATACGGAGAGGGGAATAGGTGTACAGCGCCCCTGGAGTGATTCAGAGGGAAACAAGGTGTACAGCAGTGTGGATGATGCAGGAGAGGGGGAAAGGGGGGGTTTTTACAGCACCGTGGAGTGATACACAGGGGGAACGAGGGGGTACAGCAGCTGTGGAGTGATACAGGGGAGGGGAAGAGGGTTACAACACGGGAGTGATACAGGAAGGGGAAGGGGGTTAAGCGCCGGGGAGTGATACAGGAGGGAAAGAAGGGGGACAGCACCGGAGTGATACATAGAGGGAAGAGGGTGTACAACGCCAGGAGTGATACAGGACAGGGGAAGGAGGGTTTACGCCCGTGGGGTGTGAAGGAGGGGGAAGGAGAGTGACAGCGCCGTGGGTGAACACGGGGAAAGAAGGGTATACAGTAGCGGTGGAGAGATATAGGGGGGGAAGGGGGGATACAGCAGCCGTGGGGTATACAGGAGGGGAAAAAGGGTAACAGAGCCGTGGGGTGATACGGAGAGGGGAGGGGGGTACAGCAGCATGGGGTGATGAAGGAGAAGGGAAAGGGGGGGTACACGCCGTGGAGTGATACAGGGAGGGGGGAAGGGGCGTGTACAAAGCCCTGGATGTAAGGAGGAGGAAAAGGGGGGTTAAAAGCGGCTGTGGGATATACTGGGGAGGGAAGGAGGGAAAACAGCAGCCGTGGGTGATACGGAATGGGGAAAAGGTGTAAAGCGCCCGTAAATGATGCAAAAAGGGGAAAGGGGGATACAGTGGCCCTGGATATACAGGAAGGGGAAGGGGGTAACGCACCGTAGAGTGAAAACCGAAAGGGGAAGGAGGGGGTTACGCGCCCTGGGGGGTGCATAGAGGGGAAGGAGGGTAAGCAGCCGTGGATGATACGGAAGGGGGGGAGGGTGTACACCCGGGGGTTGATAAAAGGAGAGGGGAAGGAGGGTGTACAGCCCACAGATTGGGTTCAGGGGAGGGGGAAAGGGGGGTGTCAGCAGCCACAGATTGGTTCAGGGGAGGGGGAAGGGGGGGGTACCAGCCCCCGATTGGTTCAGGAGAGGGGAAGGAGGGGGTACGCACCAAGATTGGTTCAGGAGAGGGGAAGGGGGGTGACGCACCCCAATTGGTTCAGGGAGGGAAGGAGGTGTACAGCAGCCCAATTTTGGGTTTAGGGGAGGGGGGAGGGGTACAGCAGCCACAGATTGGTTCAGGAGAGGGGAAGGAGGGTGTACAGCAGCCACAGATTGGTTCAGGAGAGGGGAAGGAGGGTGTACAGCAGCCACAGATTGGTTCAGGAGAGGGGAAGGAGGGTGTCCAGCAGCCGGGGTGGTCAGGGGAAAGGGGGAAGGGGAAAGGGGCAGAGCCCTGGAGTAAATTTGAGAAAGGGGATCATACTGAATTAATAAAAAAAAGGGGAAAAAAACATGCTGGAACAATGACAAAAAACCCCAGCATAGAAAAAGGGAGCTTACAAAGACGTTTCGGCAACTTTTACCTTAAAGGTCACCCTGACTTGTAAATGTGTGGGTTATTTTTGTAAGTAAATTAAAGTTAAACATGATTTTTGGGAAATGTCTACAAACCGGGGCATCAAGGCCAAATTGAATGGATCAGACCTACTAAATTAATAAGTAGTGGAATTCCCCCCGTTAAGAAAAGAGACAGAGAATTTGGGGGGCCCCCAGAATTTGGTGGGAAGTGGAAAATGAGGCTGACGCCAAGAAAACAATCTAGTATGTACACCTGAGCCCTTTTCTTTTTAGATTTCCGCGGGCCCTGGGATTTCTTTGTTAGGTAGGCTTTGTGATGTGACCCCTTTACAATATAATGGTAAAGGGAAACGTAAATATTTAATTATCTAAATTTTGGTAATGTGCCCCAGGTGTCAATTAATTTCATACAGTCAAAAAAATTTTTTAAATTTAACTTTATTGGCAAAATTTAAATATTGAAATTTATTAATTTAATGTGAGGCAAGCTTTTTTTTGAGAGGGGTGAAGAAGTGGGTATCGAGGGGGGACAGTTCTGTCCCCTACTGTGCTAAGTCCCAATTCCCTCACCCAAATTTACCCTGTGACCTCATAAGGGTATTTTCACACTGTTTTGTTGTATTTTAAATATATGCAAGAATATGAAGAATCCAGACAACTGCCCGGGGGAAAAATTGATGGTATGAGGCCTAGTCATGGCCCCGGGCCCCCCATGGCCCGGCCCATACTGCCCAGTGATTAAAAGGATAGAAGTACATAAGGGGTCCATGACTGGGCCCCATAAAAAAAAAGCAACACGACGGCTCCCCATTTTCTGTTACCTCATAAATCATTTTCCGTTTTTACTCGATTGTCCCCTTCAAGGAAGGCCCAGTAAAGGCTCTTGATCTAAGGGAATGGGCGTTTTCCCCTTTTCGTTCCCAAACGCTAATGGCCCCAAGGGGTTTTAAAACTCCCCATAAACGAAAAATAATAATAACAACAACAACAATAATAATAATAATAATAATAATAAAATAATAAAATAATAATAAAATAATAATTTAAAAATAATAACAAGGGAAAAAACAATTAAGACGATTATAATTTCGTGGTAATTAACATTTTTTTGTGGAGAAGATCGCAGGTAACTATCACAGGTAATGCCATGAGTTAGGGAATGAATTATACAGATCTGAAAGCCAAAGATGACTACTGCCCTGTTTTGACTTTGGGTCTTCCTGGATAATTAGAATAGTCATGTTTGACTTAAAAAAACTTTTGCATACTTGATGATGGAATTTGAATGTTCTCTCGAATAGAACATGATTACCCTTCCCCTTTCCCCCGCTATCACGCTCCATACGGGTTTACCTTCCCCCCTCAATGATAACCATACAAAGAAAAATTCTAGGCTGGGCTCACATTGTAGCTGAAAAATTTGTCGTTAAAAAATTAATTTATTAAAACACAAAGAGAAAAAAATTACTCCGGGGTTACTTTTGTTTTGGGGGTTGTTAAGGGCCCCCAAAAGTTTTCCTTTTTGAACCCTATTTCCCGGACTCCAGGAAAAAAAATTGCCAAAAAATTTAGTGAAATTATTAAGGGAAATAAAGACGTCAGGAAAAAAAAATGGGAAAAGTTCACGTTAAGTGTGGTGGGAACCCTTTTCTAAACACCAAAGCCAAACCCGACCGAGCCAAATTTTCCTCCCAAACCACATAATTTAGCCTTTTAGGGAGTCAAAAAAACTAATATGAAGCAAAAGGGTCAAAATCTTGAAAGTAGAAGAGAAAACGATTTACAAGAGGGAACGGACACTTTACCCTTTAAAATTTACTCACGCTCCTGCCTTTTTCTTGGGGAATTTTAAAACCCCTCCCTCACACTGGTATATAAGTGTGGTACCTCTATGCCCCGATGTTTTTTCCTTTCTGCCCCAAAGATTTAAAAGGATTTGTGACTCCACATGTGTTGGAGTGGAGCAAACTAACATTTTTAAGTATTCAGGAAAAAAACCGTTAGCCGGATTGAGTCCTGAGGTGGAAGGTACAGGCTTGTGCTTGAAAAATGGGTGGGATTATTGCAGTTTTTGAAATGCATTAAAGGCACATCCTGGGAAGAGGGGGATGGGGTGAGTGTGATAAGTTTTTTCTTTTTCGGGGCACCCTGCTTGGGGGGAAACAGCCCTTTTATAAAAAGGGGGATGAAAAGGAGTTGTTGAACTGGTTTAGGCATTTAGAAGGATGGTGCAGAAAGGAATACCAGAAGGGTTTATTGAATCTGGAGTGAAAGGAAGGGGGGGGGGGTCATTCCATTATGGTTTTTGCAAAGCAAGGAGCATGATCATCCCATGCCGGTTAACCGGACTTGAGTCCTGCAGTGAGAGACGACTGAGGTGTATAAGAAAGTAAATCAATATTTATTGACCATTATGGTCAATTTTCCCGATTTGTTCACTACAAGATTTGTTAATTGAAAATATTAGACAGGCCCTTACTAACTCATACTTACAATTATCACACAGTTAACCCCCTTTATTTTCCAAAATAACTTTTGATTCACTTTCTCAATCTTCAATTTTCTGTGTCTCACAACGGCATAAATATGGCAGTGTTCTGTGTGTTCCCTTTGTCAACTTCCATTTACCTAATCTTACTGTAAGTGGTACTTGATCCTATTGGTGATCTTACTGTGTTACTTGATCCTACTGGTGATCTTACTGTGTTACTTATTAAAATATATATATATATATATATATATATATATATATATATAGTATATATATATATATATTATATATATATATAAATATATATATATATATAATATATATATATATATATGTCGTGCCGAATATGTAAAACCGGTCAATTAGCAAGAATTCATTTAAAATTAAGTCCTTTCTAAAATTTTCTCTTGTACTTTAAATATATTTTTTTTCATTA